CCGTGTCCGCTGCTGGAACAACGTCGTGAGGCCTGTGCATCCGCGGGCGGTGCTAGGATGGTGAGCCCACAACAACGAGAACCTGTGGGCAAATGTGTCTTGAAAATAGAATGAGAATCAGCCTGACCCCCCTCCCCCCCACAGCCACTTTTGGGAATTTGGCAGCCCAATTGCAGGAAGCTTATACCCCGCCCAAGACCCCAATCACAAATAGGACCGTCTACGGCACTCCAAGAAGGCAAGGCCACCAAAGATGACAGGATAACGCCAACCGGTCAGTAACGTCTTCATTTGAGTCAACATTCTTGCCACCGTGGTGCCAATGTCATAACATCAACAACGTCCTTACCGCGCACCCTTCCCGCCACGCTTCAATAGCATCTGCCAAGTACCCAATAAAACAAAAACCAAACAAAGTTTTTGATGCAAATACCAAGTACCACTCAATACGGCCCAATAAAGTTTGCTGCAAATCTACTTCCATTGTCCTCTNAACGTCTTCATTTGAGTCAACATTCTTGCCACCGTGGTGCCAATGTCATAACATCAACAACGTCCTTACCGCGCACCCTTCCCGCCACGCTTCAATAGCATCTGCCAAGTACCCAATAAAACAAAAACCAAACAAAGTTTTTGATGCAAATACCAAGTACCACTCAATACGGCCCAATAAAGTTTGCTGCAAATCTACTTCCATTGTCCTCTCCGCTCGACGAACAACTATCGATGATCTGAGCACCAATCTTTCTCCTCCCCTGTTGTTTCTTGCGCGTCACGGCGCCCCCGGGGTCGGTGGTGGATGTATGTGCAATCATCCTGGGACAACTGTTTTGCCAAACGCATCAGGCGCTATCAGCCCGCTTGCATAAAACTCTAAAACACCTCTCTGATCCTACACTCGCGGGAAACGCTCCGGACGGTCTACATGCATGCATCGAGAACTCATCATCGCTGGGGCTTCTCCCCTCCTACATGACAAACAAGCACAGTGATTCTTATCATGGGGCTTCCCTCCAACCACACACTGCTGTCACACAAAGTGATTCTTATCATGGGGCTTCTCCCCTTCTACAAGACACACACTGCTAGCATAGATATTGGATACACCTTGCTACTGCGAATCCCTCAATACGGCGGATATGTCTGGTACATGGGTCCACACCTACCTGCAGCAACAACAACGGAAATGTCACCTACAGCAGCAGTACAACAGTGTCCTCCCCTCCCCATTCCAACTCGTACTGCACAAGGTGGCACATCTGGTGCATGGGTTCACACCTACCTGTAGCAACAAACGGAAATGTCACCAACAGTTTCCTCCCCTCCCCATTTCCATCTCATGCTGACACCTGCACAATTTTAACTGCGCTGGTATCTGCAACTTCGATACACCGGGTCCTGTGTACCCCTTTTTTACCGCTGTGCGTGAGTTTTCAACAGGCTTTTGATACACCTGCTGTAGAAGCGAGTAGGGCGGCCAAGGCCGCGCTTGCGGCGAACGACGTACCCAACTGATGATGTTGTCGCACCCTGTGTTCCCTTTTCCCTGCCGTAAGCTGTATGCTCTTAGTATTGCCTCCGGCCTCTCTTTGTGCTTTTCTTCTTTCTTTCTTTCTTGTTCTCCATGCCCTCTCTACGATGATCTTGGACGATACCTCGAGCTCCTTGTTATTTTTGTTTTTTCCTTTGCTGGCTGCCTGCCACCTCTGCTGCCTCTTTGGTGCGGTGCCTACCCTACACTAATGCGCTGGTGCATACTGCACTGCTGTAGTACCTGGTACTGGTGTACGTTGTCCTTCGATTTTTTATTTTTTTTGTGGGAATATATATGTGTTTGTTTTTCGCCCCCCGTCTTGCTGCACCCCCTGGGGTGTGGTGCAGGGCGGGGGATGCCTGGTCGGCGGGAACCCGGCACGGAACCCTCCGGCGTTGTAGGCGGGTGTGGGAAGCGTTCCCCGTTCTCCTTTTATTTTATTTTGATCGGTCTCCTCGACGCTCTTTCTCGTTTGGTGCGGTAGCTGGTCTTTCTTTCTATCATTTTGTTTCTCTTCCGAGTGGTTTTTGTGTTTTTTTTTCTGTTTCTTCGTGGGGTCGTGTATGCCGGGTTTTGAGACCACGGGCTCCCAATCTTTCTTTTTTTAGAGCGAATGTAAGAAACAACAGCAACAACACCTGGTCCTGTGTACCCCTGTTTTGGCCGACACGCTGGATACTGCTGTTTTGCCCCTGGGCGTGAGTCTTCAATCGGCTTTGATACACCTGGTCCTGTGTACCCCTGTTTTGGCCGACACGCTGGATACTGCTGTTTTGCCCCTGGGCGTGAGTCTTCAATCGGCTTTGATACACCTGGTCCTGTGTACCCCTTCTGTTCAACCGACACGCTAGATACTGGTTTACCCCTGTTCGTGAATTTTCATCGGTTGTGGGGAGCGCCTCTGCTGCATCCCCTCCTTTAATACGCCTGGTCCCGCACACCCCTGAATCGTTGCACCCTGAATCGTTTCCTGTGTTCGGAATTCTGCGAAATGTGTGGTGTTGGGATGAAGAGAGAGTACGGTTGTCACGAACGAGATAACTAAACGTGTGAGGGGTTATCAAGCCACCAACAGCACGTATGA